TTATATAAAAAAAAATCTGAAGAATATATTTAAAAATAAATATTTCAAAAAATATTTTTCATAATTTTTCATAGTTTTGTAATATATACGTACAAGTTTTTTAAGTATATTGAATACGGCCAAAATGTTAGTATTTAAAATATGTGTCAGTATATTTGGGAAGAATATTTTAAAAAAATATTTAAAATATCGTGTGTAGAATCAATGTTCATTTTCGACCTCAGATTCAAAGGAATAGGAAGGAAATTTTTCTTGAAATAACCAATTTCTAACAGGGTATGTGGTTTTACTTCTGTAAAGTCCATTCATTCCAAAATCAAATATTAAAATCAAATGAAATCTTTTAATGACATTAATTGAATGTTCTGAGAATTTCTGTACACATTTTTCTAAGATTTTTCCTAAGAATTTTCATACAAAATTCTATCTATCTATGGCCAGTTTTAGACAAGTGGGCTCTTCCAACCTTGTAGTAATGTTTTAGAGAAGGTCCTTTTCTGTTCTAGCATGACTGCGCCCCTGCGCACAACACCAGCTCAATAAAGACATGGTTTGATGAGTTTTGCATGGAGTAATTCGAGTGGTCTTCACAAAGCCCTAACTTCAGTGTAATTAAACACTCTTGTGATGATGCTGATTGGCAGGCAGGTCTTCTTGTCTAACATTAGTTTCCAATCTTGCAAAGCTCCTTTGCCTAAATAGGCACAAATTCCCACAGATCACTATGTACTAGCATAAACTGTCAGTGGACTCTTACTTCCAAAGATGCCATAAATTCCCGCCACAGTTGAGAAGTATATATTAGAAACCCTTTCCCCCTCAACCAGCCCATTCCACAATAAATGCAGAGCAACACACAAAAACACATCTCATATCATACATTAAATGCACAAAGCTACATGTATTTTACAACGCAGAATGCACACTTAGTCAAAGGGTTTGAACCGCATCACATTTGCATGACATGTGAACAAAACCAGCTTACTATGGAAATGGTTCACATATGTGCGGGCCGGCAGCAGTATGATTTAAAAAAAAGAGTCAGGTATGATTTTCCCTCCAATTCAGGTGCAGTTTCCAGTGTCAGACCGGGATTACATATGTGCGGGGCTGGTTTCAGTGCGATTTGTAAAAATACTCTGGTCCAATTTTGTTCAGCATTTCAGGTGCAAATTTTTTAAGTGCCTGATACTGGAAATCGCACCTGAATTGGACAGAAAATCATACCTTACTCTTTTTAAAATCACACTGCACGGCTCCATAGAAAGGCACTTTGGTTCACATGTTATGTGAATCGGATGTGGTTCAAAATGCATTCAATTCGCATATATGTGGCACTTTAAAAAAATTGCACATAAATCACAATTAAACCACTGAATGAAATCGTGCTGGACTCTTTTTACAAATTGCACTGAAACCAGCCCCGCACATACACTATATTGCCAAAAGTATTAGGACGCCTGCCTTTACATGCACATGAACTTTAATGGCTTCCCAGTCTTAGTTCGTAGGGTTCAATATTGAGTTGGCCCGCCCTTTGCAGCTATAACAGCTTCAACTCTTCTGGGAAGGCTGTCCACAAGGTTTAGGAGGTTGTCTATGGAAATGTTTGACCATTCTTCCAGAAGCGCATTTGTGAGGTCAGACACTGATGTCAGACGAAAAGGCCTGGCTCGCAGTCTCCACTCTAATTCATCCCAAAGGTGTTCTATCGGGTTGAGGTCAGGACTCTGTGCAGGTCAATAAAGTTCATCCATCCCAAACTCACTCATCCATGTCCAGGTGTTCTATCGGGTTTAGGTAAGGACTCTACGCACTCTTGTTGTGCTAATCTGAAGGCCACAAAAAGTTTGGAGGTCTTTAGCTATTGACTTTGAAAACAGTTAGCAACTTCTGCGCACTGTGCGCTTCAGCATGCACTGACCCTACTCTGTCATTTTATGTGGCCTACCACTTTGTGGATGAGTTGCTATTGTTCCCAGTTGCTTCCACTTTGTTATAATCCCACTCAGGGGCGGACGGACAACTCATGGGGCCCCCGGGCAATAGGGGATCATGGGGCCCCTGTGTCCTTGCCCAAACTCAAAAAAGCCTATGAAAAAGGTACCAGGGGCATCTCATGAAGCCCCCTACCAACCCCAGCACCTCGGGCAGTGCCTGAGAGTTTCCAAATGGTCAGTCCACCCCTGATCCCACTTCTGAGAGCGACCCATTCTTTCACAAATGTTTGTTGAAGCAGTCTGCATGCCTAGGTGCTTGATTTTATACACCTGTGGCCATGGAGGTGATTGGAACAATCACCCCCATGGCCAATTATTTGGAGGGTCCAATTATTTGGAGGGTTGGCCCAATATGTTTGGCAATATAGAGTATGTGAACCCGGTCTAAAGTGTATAACTAGCCTAAACTTTTTTTCTTTTGTTTCTGTGGTGCCATTCAGGAGATTCTTCATCTTTACAATACTGTCATCAGGACAGGAAGTGATAGGAAATCTCCTTAAAACTGACCATACACTAACAGATTTTCAAATGTTTGTATGAACATTCATACAGAAATTCCAATTAATGCATTCAATGACGTGAATAATGTTGTTTGAAATGAGTTAAGAAAAAAGGTTGCTTTTAACATCTGATTTTGGGATGAATACAGTACTGGCTCAGAAATGCTGCACACCTGGGGAAATGCTGTTCTCTAACAGAAATTGTGTTCGAAGTGCTTAGTGTTAACAGTGTAAGACGTTGGGCCATGGATCACCTAAAGAGTTACTGCAAGTTCCTGCTCACTTCTGAGTCTGGAGTTATGCCTTAATGTTGATTTCACATGAACGCAAGCTCCTGCCTAATGTTTAGGCATTGGTGAGTGCAGTTCCACAGTGTGCCCACAAGGGCACCTTCAGCCCCACCCACAGGTTGCAAAAAGTTAAAATGAGAGACACAGAGGTGCCATGTAGTTTTAATAGTATAGTAAAGTACATATTTTTTCAACCAGGGTTTCATCAGAAGCTGCGAAGGAATCCTTTACCATAAGACAATCATGGGATTTCATAACATAAGGCGAGAGCGGACCTGAGGCGGAACTAATTTCCCAGATTCCCCATCAGGCTACGCCCACTACAGCATCACTGGTTGCTAGGAGACTGTTGGCTTTGAAATTGACAATGTTCTTAACAACCAGTAAAAGGGAGAAGGAAGCGGGGGCAAATATGCAACTCTGCTACATTGTATACAGGGACAGGCACACTGCCCTTCTCTATATGCCAAGTTAGTGTAAGTCTCAGTTACCTCCCTTTTCATTATCTATGAACTTGTGCCAGTTATTTTTTAATCTGGTGCATTGATCCCTTTTAAAAAAAAAAAAAATCTCCTGTATGGTTTGGTAAAGTTCCCAAAATGGGTGGTAAGGATTTCTGAATCTGGCACAGGCCATTTTAAGAAGCCATGACAGCAGAACATTTTTGGTAGTACTTTACTGAATTCTCCCGAATATCTAACCCTCCTAGTTAGTGCAGGTTGTAGCCAGTGAAATAGGAGTTGCTTGCTTCACCCTGCTCAGTGTCTCACAGGTTGCTGATCTGATTACTTGCCCCTGTATTCTAGAGGATTCTAGAATAATAGTGGGAGGAAGAATAAAGGGAGCAGCCTAAATATTTATGGGGATCCAGACAATCCCTGGGGAGGTGTGCTCAATGGGTGGCTGGAGAGCCCATAAATAGGCTGAGGCCTGGGGCAGGAGGTGGGTCATAGGTCCAGTTCTGCCAGAGGTCACCACTGTGCAGGGGCCCTGCCCTGAAGCAGGTTGCTGGAGGTGCCATTTAGGAGTTGAGGTCTCAGCTGGGGCTTAAGCTGGGGGGCCTATTCGCAAAGTCTAGTCACAGAGTCTTTGTGGGATTGGAGAGCTCACTGAAGAGTACCAGGAGGAAGTTGGAGGAAGAGTGTCCTGTGATAATGTGAGTCTGTGAGTGCCTGGTTGATATTGGAAGGATGCAACCAATGATCCTGTGGCCATGTGAGTAAATGAAATAAGAGTGCCATGCCTTAGTGACTGTGTGCAGTTCTTAGTTCTTTGAATAAAGTCAAAGGCACCTTTCAGCCAGTAGAGAGTTATGTGGGACATTTTGTGAAAATCAGTGAGAAGAGAAAAGTCCTCAAAGATGTCAGTTCAGCAGTTCTTCTGGGGAATCCCATGCTTCCTTTACCCCATCCAAGTTCACTTTTACAATACTGCATCAAAAAGACACCCCCTAGACTGTTCTATTCATGGTAGTGGAAATATGGAAAATACTGTGTGCCAGGCTGTGCTTGCACTAACCATGGGTAAAAGAATCAGTTCACCAGCGGCTCCTCTGGGGTACGCTATATCAGCAATCACCGACAATAATTATCTGTCTGTAAAGGGGCTGATAACAACCAGGGATGAGCTTAGGTATGTCCAGACATGAGCCCAGACCCGCCTGTGCTATCCCACCAGGAAACTATCACTGTGGACAACCAATCATAAGCTGCAGAGACACTCCCGCTCAACAGATACACACCCCTCAGCACACATACTTACCCCTTGCAGCCTCAGTCTCTTAGATTGGTTGTCCACAGTGACTATTTCCTGGTGGAATAGATGAGGTGGGTTTGGACAATTATTTTTTTGGCCATTATTATTCAACGGTTATTAGCAAAAAAATGTTGTTGTGTTATAGAGTCAGGAGTGAAAGCTAAAGAGTTATTTGCTTTGGGTGTCAAGTACAGTAAGTATGCCACATTCCTTATTCTTTTATGTATTATTATATCTACAATTCACTCAACACTCTGATGTACTAGGAGCTGTAGATGTAATAATTTAGCAGGGGTTCCTTGAGACTTGAAAATTAATTCAAAGGTTCCTCTGTTGAGGAAGGGTTGTGTAAGGCTGGTATAGTGCATACTATATATGCTAAAGAGTAACTTTTTTACATCTAGTGTTGTGTTGTTTCTGCATTATAGCAGTCCTGACAACTCTTCATAGCTGCAATGGAGCTCGGAGGAGCAGGCACTCTGCTCTTGGCAGTCAGTGTTACAGCGCTCATATTCCTCATGACGTGGATTAACAGCAATAAGAGGAAGAATATGCCCCCTGGACCAACTCCTCTTCCTTTCATTGGGAATATTCTACAGGTGAACAATAAAGAGCTGCCACAGTCATTCCTAAAGGTGAGTACTGTTCGGTACCTATAACCAGGGAGTGCTAAACTCCCACATGCCGCACATATGTGTCCATGGATGGCAGAGGTTTCTGTGCAGAAAGCAGGCTCCCAGCACACTAATCGAGCTATCAAAGACAGAGCTTGGTCTCAACTAGTCATCAGGAGCTGACAGGACCAGCTCGGATTATGAGACAGCCAATGGCAATGTGATCGGTCAACCTTTCCTGCTCCCCTGGCCATAAAGACCTTGGGAAGCCAGGGCTGGGTGGAAAGGGGTAAATAATTATGCCATTACACATTAGATACATATTATCTGTACATTTTTGTAATCTCTAATATTTTCTCTGCTGCTCTTGGTGCTCTGTAGATGTTAATGGCACAGCCTCATGCTGCTTTTGGTCTTTAAAACCCAACTCCAACTTTTTTTTTCATAGTGTTGAAAAGGTAAAAGTCTCAACCTCAGAACCCAAGTTTGTATTGCTGTCTTTGTCCTCATTGGGAAGATTCTCTTTACATCCTGTCACAATGACACCAGAATAAGAAGTAAGATGGTTCAGTTGTTATCAGGACTAAAAATCAACCAAAGAACCAAAAAGTTTACAGTTGGCTCTAACTCCATATTCTATTCCATATTCTATTACATGGATGTGATTGCATTGTTGTTTTTATTTCCATCACTTTCTGTCCTTGTGGCATCAGGACTGGAGGTGAGGGTAAAACTGGGAATACAGACATCAACAAAAGACTGCCGGGGGTCTAACTAGACATGCCCCCCCCCCCTCCTCTACAAAACTAAATTTAAAAAAGTCTGAGCTGCAACTGAGCTTTAAAAGGAACTAAAGTCAGTGATACCAACAATGGTCCTACATCCTTCACTGGTGCCAGGAGCTTGAACTTGAATTTCGAAATTTGAATTTTGGAAGATGGCTACATTTTTTCTATTATATTCTATTCTATTTGAAATCTGAAATTCAAATCTTGAAAGATGGCTATACTCTTTCTTCATTTTATTCTATTCAAAATTTGAATTTCGAAGTTCAAATTTCGGAAGACAGCTATATTTTTTCTATTTTATTTTATTCAAATCTATTCTATTTTTTATACTCTATGTTATTATTTTCTGTTCTATTTTATAATTTTATTTTTCATTCTATTCTTTTCTCTTCTATTATTTTTCATTCTAGTCTATTGTATTCTGTTCCATTCTATTCTTTTAGAAAAACAAAACTCTGCTTTTACTAAGGCTGCATTCCCATCGGCATCCAGCTGTCATGTTTTGCAGGCTCTGCTCTCCAGATATGCAACCAGTGTTAGATTTCATTCTTGGATTGGGAAGGTGAATCACGAGGTCTGACCATTTCCTGTGAGCAATAAATCTACTTTATGAATATTAATGTTGTGTGATGTAGGGCTGCTGGCAGAAAATTGTGAATGATAAAATCAACATAATCCGATCAAATCCTGAACAATCATAGTGAGTGAACTTATAACAAAGTGCTCAGAAATAAATAAATATGAATATAATATACAAAGTTCATTCAGTAACAGATATTGTGTGTTCCGGCACCACAAATTAAGATCCGTGCTTCATGTGAATTTCATACAATATAGTGCCACCTCTGTGCTCTCAGAACTCTCACCTCCAACGCATTTTAAACTGCGTGTTTATTTAAATATCTCCATTGCTGATCACTGTCTTCTCCAGCCACTAGGGGCTGTCCACTTCTCTTCTCCTTTGGTAGATGTTAGGGTAGCCTTAAGGGTTCCATCAGTTAGGTTTGTAATAGTTACATTCAAGATAAAGCAACTTGCTTTAAAGAACAGTAGATCACGGCATGTACTTCCTTATTTCTGAGTCATCTGCCTCCGCTTAACCTCCGACGCGTTTTGTCACCGTCATATGATTTCATCAGCTGATCAATATGTTTACTGTGTGGGGAGGAAAAAAATAGGGGGCTGGTGAGACTGCAGTTGAGCATACATGACATTACCCTTAGAAGTTCAATTTCAATACTCCTAGAAATGTTAAGAATAGTGTTACTTTCTCCCTATAAATGTCACTGCCAGCAAGGGAAAAGGAGGTTTTATGAGAAATACTGACTAGCTGTAGCAGCATGTAAGGTGCAAAGGGTTAAAGAAACACCCCGTCACAAGCCTGATGAAGGGGTCCTGCGAGAATCGAAACATTGCCTTGCTGTAACTATGTGATCATTCATTAAAAACTTTTGGACCCATATTGGTGATCCTTGGTGTGCTGGTGACATTCTCCCTTCTTGATTCTATTCGGTTCCAGGCGACGGATGCTGCAGCACCCACTTATACACACAGCCATTTTTAACGCAGGAACGTTTGCATTTTGATTGTACACTTGCATTAAAGGGCCAGACCATCACGTATGGGTACACATGAGTCGTATGTTGAAAACGTCTCTTGAGCAAATATCTGAGTCCGCATCAATGGAAGAGTTATTGGAAGGAGTCCCAAACAAGGGAAAACGCGATTAAGACCTATAATAATACAGGTCCAATCTTGGAGGTGAGCACAGTGGTGAATGGTGGCGGGCATCACTAGGTATGTTTGGTGTGGATTATCCCTAAAGGTGGAGTGTAGTGATGCAAAGTATCACAGGAAGTGGAACGTAGTGATATATTTTATGAGGGAAGATATTCACAATTTAGATATGGACATTCCCTGTTAATATTTTATGCAAATATTCACTTTTAGTATTTTGAACAACATATTTATTATTTATAGGATTGTTATATTGGATTGATTTATTGGGAGGAGCAGCAATTCTATTTCTTTTTTCTTTGATGTACATTTAAATTTTTGCATGGAAAACATCTTAATATTACTGCTGCACATTAAACTTTATCAGAGACAAATTTACTTGATAAGGCTGTACAATGATGGATCGACACTTGTAAAATATTCATGCATGTGACGTGGGTCAGGCCAACTACCATGATAATTATATTAGAGTCATCTAATCTTATGTATTTTTTTTCTTCTTGTAGCTTGCCAAGGTTCATGGAGATGTATTTACTGTCCAACTGGGGACCAGATCAATCGTCCTCCTCCATGGCTATGATACTGTGAAAGAGGCTTTAGTGGACAACGCTGATGTCTTCAGTGACAGGGGGACTATACCCACAGTGCAAAGGATATTTCAAAACTTTGGTAAGTACAACACAAGTTTTGATGTTATTTAAAGTAAAATTGCATGGATATAATCTATTTGGATGGTTTTAAAGCTGGACTCTGGGTAACCCACTAAATCAAGAGATGATACACATATAAAGGAGCTTTTTTCATCTGTCAAAGTATTTGTATTTTTGTCCATCCAGTCTTGAGAGTTAAAAAAAAGCTCTGCAAAACAGCACAGCCAAGTGCATTACATCAATTTGCTAGGGCCCATTCACACCACTGAATTGCATTACAGGAGAAGTAGGGCCAAAGTTTTTGGCTGTACTTCTCCTGGCGATCACAGGAGTGTACTTTGTTCTGTACTCCTGCGACCCGCATTAAGCCAAAAGCGGGCTAAAGCTTCAATTTCATGAGCCCTTATAGGTATAGATTATAGAAGGGATATGGTGGTGTCCTTTCCTTACCCCAGCATTGAACAGCAAAAAACAGGAAACTGGTGAAGTCATCTCATATCATCATGATAGCACATTAGCATGCAGATTGCCTTCCAGTCCTGCATCTCCCCTCCCTTTCGGAGCGCTGTTTTACTTGGGACTGCAATGAAGCTGATACCAAGTCATATTTAGGTTACACTACTTGCAGTAAAAATACAAATACTAATAAAATGCATATTATTATACTTATTAATGATTGCAGTGCTGTATAAATTTGTATTTTATAGCTACATGGTATGTTTTTCTGTAGGAATTATATTTAGTAATGGGGAGCGTTGGAAAGTGTTGCGTCGTTTCTCTTTGTCAACCCTGAGGAACTTTGGAATGGGGAAAAGGAGCATTGAGGAGAGGATCCAAGAAGAGTCTCAATACCTCATGGAAGAGTTTAGGAAAAAGAAAGGTTAGTTGAAGGAAATGTACTGTATATTGGTTTTGCACATATTTCCTTTATTATAATCAGAAATTAAAGTGGAACTAAAGTCTTTTTACAAAACATTTGATGGCAGGTAGGCTTTTGCTGTATATGAGACTGCATTCTTGGAATGCCTTGGTGTTGGCATGAATTAACTCTTGTGTGCATGTGCAGGAATTATGTCATGGTGCTAGAGGGGTCCATTTGGCAGCCAAATCTTCAATAATGTGCAAATATGTTGCTCATTTTTGCACTCTATGGCTAAAGCTCACCCATCCATGCAGGTTTAGATTTGCTTTAATTCATTTTTATAGCATGTAGAGCTACCCTTAGAGGAGCACCTGAATTATTTTGTGATTTCTTTACACACCTGAAAATGACACATCTCACTCACCTAGCATTTACCAACACACCTTGAGGTATTTCAAAGAATGTATTAATCTAAGCATAACCTAAAAGAAGAGAGGATTAGTAAGTGTAGTTACTACAGTATATACAATCCATAAGACAATAACGTTTCTCTGTTAGATATGGTTAAACACCTGCAGTATTCTGACTAACAGTAATTAACAGAACTGAACTGCATTTACCTAGCAACAGTATATAAAGATAGCCCTAACTTGATATAACAGTCCCCATTTTATCACACTGGCCAGCGATTGATAAAAAAAATGTTGGCCAGCAAAGTTGGGGCTCTGGAAAGAAAGCACAATAGTTCCCAGCAGATAACAGATCAATTTGTGCAATGTTAGTCTCCTACCAGACACAGGGTGCCCTCTTTTAGATCTCCGTACATGTGCTTTGAGAAGGATAGAGCATGTGTTCAAGTCCTCAGACAGGGATAGAAGTTGCTGTGATTTCTCTATTTCAATCCTGCTGAGACAATCCCTCTTTTCCTTCCTTACAAGTGGTGGGGGTGCTCTCTAGTACTAAGTACAGTTTGATCTCATCCAAATCATACCTTACATCCTCCCAGGCATACAGTCCCCAGTCTCTTAGACAAGGTCTGGCACAATGAGTAGTCTCTTTGCTTAGTTGTGATCTCTTGTAGTTAAGGTCAGCTATGGCAGGGTTCTCTTCAGTCAGCAGCCCATTCTCTTGTTTTGGCCCATGTTAGCTTTAAGACTGTCCTCTCCTTTCCACTCAGTAGGCAGCAGCCACTTCCCTTTTGCCTTTTTGCATTAGCCAATCACTGTCCTCCAGGATTGATCCAGACCCAGCCAAGATGGCTGCCACCTGCACTGGAGAAACTCCATAGATGACCATTGCAAAGTGTTCTCCCTAAAGATGGCTGCTGCACTTATGCATTAATAAATATTTAGTTTAACCCTGTCCACACTGCAGAGAGGTAATACAAAAGCAACAAAGAATGTTTCTTTCTATTCTAAATGTTTATTTCTATTCTATTTATGTTCTGCAGTAATTATCAGCTACAGTCTAGGTTACAAGTGCATTTTACTTTCTTGGCTGGTCAAGTAAATATTAAACTTTGCATATTAATATTAGGTGTTTTCCTTTTACAACAGCAAGGGCCACTTTTGAGCTTATTTTCACATTTAAAGACTTGTTTACAGATATTTACAGATCACAACAGCTCAAGATGAATTTTACACTCACAAATGAATAAGTCAGAACAGTGATTGCCTCCTTTTTCTTCCCCTCTAGAGTGGCTCTGATCAGAGACAACATTTCTATAAGGGGCATGTAAGAGGATCCCCAATTGGCTGCCAGTAATGACCATGCAGCCCCAGGGCACCTCTCTTCATCTTACTGCAAAAGGAACGAGATAGGGTACCAAACACCTGTATTTTTAGAGGATCTCCACAATCTTGGCCACTCACATACTCCTGGCCTGAGACCGGCTTTGAATAACACTTAGCCAATAAACAATTGTCCATGTGGTCAGCCTTTTTGGTGCTTTACTGGAAATGTAAAAATGGTGCAAATGGTGCAAGCAGTTCCATCACGCAAAACAGCTCCAACACGCTCTCCTTCTATCATTCCCCATAATGTTTATATCAACCAGGGGGCAAATGCTCAGCCTTCCCGCATTTATTTAGGAATTTACACAAGAAACATTTCTTTGAGCCATGTACTCATCTTCCAGGGAAGATCTGAGACCTACTCCTGAGGGGTGTTTCTTCAACCCTTGGCACCTCACATGTTGCTGCAACTAGTCATTATTTTCCATAAAATCTCCTTTTCCCTTTCTGGCATTGACATTTATAAGGAGAAAGCAACACTATTTTCAACACTTCTAGGGGTGTAGCACTAAAGGGCCTCCTCACTTTAGATAACCGAAAATACTTTGGGATACCTTTGTCATGTATTAAAAGCTCAACTGCAGTCTCACCAGCCCCCTAATTTTTTCCTCCCCCCCCCCCACAGTAAACATATTGAAATATTTTCACAATACCTACCTAAAATTCTAGGTGTCTTATCTGACAAGTGGAGACTGCCTCTAGCTTTTCCTCATCTTTATTGGTGGGCAGTCCTAAATTCTGAAGATCGGCATTCTCAAGTGAGGCCATGCTTCGTGATGACTCACCCATAGTGATGTGTGTGAAGAAATGGCAAACCCAGATACTCCTGCGCTTAGGGATGGACTCTGTATGGATAGGACCACATCACGTATTTCTTGGGATATGCACGCCTTGCTGCCCTCAAATGACTGGCGAAGTCCAAATATACTGAGTAGAGAAAACAAACAGAGGGCGCACCGGCCTAGTGCATTACCTTAAAAAATTTATTAATAAATGATAAAAGTAGGCATTGAACTCACAAATTGACAATACAGTCTAAGGCACATCATGAAAGAACAGCTCTGTCCAATCTGTACTACGTGTCTGTCCGTAATGGGAACTCTGGACCTCCAACAGGCTGACACGTTTTGAGGACTTGCCTCTTCCCGTGTGTCTATGGCCGTCTGGTCTCGGGGGGAAGTACATGACATGGAATTGGTGCTTTAAAGTCCAAGTTCAGGTTTCCTGAAACTTTAAATATTTTGTTTTGGTCAAGCTAGTCCAAACAAACTATTTCCATATGATGTTATAGGGCCGCCGTCAGCACCATGTCACACTGTAGTATGTAGCAGGGTGTCATCTCCTGCCTTTTAACCTTGGCCATTCAGAGGATGTCTTGTATCCATTGATGAAAACACAAGGTTTTCCCTGAATTACAGAGAAGCACAATTCCTGACCTGATTTTGTTCCGGCAACAGTCATAAAGTGGCCGCACTGCTGCAGGAACACCACACTTTATACTGAATTTAGCTGTGCTGGAGTGTGATAAAGTGCTGACAGTGGTCAAAACACAGTCATGGAAACAGTTCGTTTGATCTAAACATTTTAGGCTCCTGTTTAAAAAATAATAATTGCACATTTTTTTCTTCCTGCATCATTTTTTTTAACTAAAGGTGAAAAATTCTTATCATCCCCATGAGACTCTGCCCATTCAACTCCAGAGCCACTGTGCTTGTTGGGCAGTCAGATCCCAATGAGGAATTCTAAGTGACCAGTTTCCCATCAGATCTACCAACCTTGTAACTAACAGCAGGTGGCAGAAGGCAGATTCCATAACTGCTATTGGGCTAAATTGTAGCTATGGAATCTTCCCACTGCCATCCACTGTCAATCACAAGGGTGGTGGACCTAATGAAGAACTAGACTTCCAGAGTTCCTCATCAAGCTCTGCCTTACCCAAAACAAAACTCCTTGGCTATGTGCCTGTCTGTGTGACAGGTACAGTGGCCAGGCAGGGAGCTTAGCCTTACTAAGCTACAGTAAGGATGAAGTGTCTGGTATGGACACTCAGACCTCACTACTGGCCTCCATGCAATAGATTCATGCACCTATTTTCGACTTTAGTGTTAACACAATATTGAATTGCTTTTAGGTTCACCTTGTGATCCTACATTCCCCTTGACATTAGCCGTGTCCAACGTGATCTGTTCCATTGTCTTTGGTGAACGTTTTGACTATGCAGATCAGACATTTCTCAGTCTTCTTGAAACAATGAAAGAAACATTTAAGTTGGTGAACTCAGCAGCTGTGCAGGTAAGAGCATTTTGTCGACCTTTTAGCAAATGATTGTATTCATGACATGCCAAAATACACAGAAACCACATCATTTGGTAAAAAAGCGTTTTTTATCATTAAAATGCAGTCTTTGAACTCCAGTCAAGTGACTTTGCTTAGGCTGAAATAATCTTATAAGTCTGCTGCAGGCAGGAGTAAGTCTTTTCTCCTTCCATGATCAGACTGTACATTTTATATTTGTAACAGGTCTTATGGTGAGAGTCTGCAGCAGGGGACAATATGTATCATAGGCACCGAGATTTGCATGTTTTTGTCATCTAAGGCAGCATCTCAGTCCTGGAAGTCGATGCTGACTCTAAATGATACCCAAAGGAGCATATAACTGTATGGTCAAGAGCAGGGGCGGACTGACAAATCATGGGGCCCCTGGGCAATAGGGGATCATGGGGCCCCTGTGTCCTTGCCCAAACTCAAAAAAGCCTATGAAAAAAGGTACCAGGAGCATCTCATGGGGCTCCCTACTGACCCCAGGCCCTCGGGCTGTGCCCGAGTTTCCAAATGGTCAGTCCGCCTCTGGTCAAGAGAAGAGCTGCAGTCTGTGTGAGAGGTAACAAATGACTGAAACCCTTAAACTGGAATTATTTCTTTCCATGCATCATCATCAATAGGCCCCTTAAAAGTGTCAGAGATGAGCCAACCTTTCGGCTTGAACCTAGGTTGGCTGTTTGGACAAACACACAAATGTATGTCTGTGCAACCCTCTGTTTGGCAGGAGCAGAAAATTATAAATATTTATGCCACATCTATACACAGTATGAATGCTTCCCACAGTGGCTCCAAGGGAAGCTGCAGGTACTTGCACCCACTATGCCCCTAGGAAACACTGGGAAATCCCCACAAGCAAAGGGGTGACGATAGGAGTGACGTATTTGGGCAATGATGCCACCACCATTTCCCACCCCTTCCCTTGTATAGCTGATGATAGCTCAGGGAGCTGTCATTTGGCTATGAGTACCATCGGGGCTGGTTGTGTGTGCTGGCTTGTTGGGTTCTTTTTTTTTTTTTTGAGAGTTGGTGGGTCGATGGGACATAGTAACTGACGATGCATTTAGGAGGGGAATTTTTGGGGATTTTTTTTTTTTTTTAAAAGGACTTGTCAGTTATTTGGAATCCTTTATTTCTAGGTTACATCTTTTCTTTTTGTGAATGAGTAGGAGTACTATGGAGAGTGTAATAGTGCTGACTGCTGAAGAATTACAGGTGGAGCTGTATATGGGTGTGCATACTTCAAAGTTAGTTATTGGAGTTTGTTATAGGCCACCCAGTGTTATTGAGGAGGTTGGGACTCAGCTCCTTGCACAGATAAAAAGGACTTCAAGGGGTGGGATATTGACTGTAGTAATGACACTGCTGGACAGGTAACAGGGTGGAAATGTATAAACCTATTACAAGACAATTTTAAGGTACAGTTTATAGAAACCCCAACTAGAAATAATGTTCTGCTGGACCTGTCAATCTCAAGCAAAGATCTCAAATCTGTGATGCTTAACTACTAATAATTACTAATGATCATATAAAAGAACATCTGGGTGACAGTGACAATAACATGATTTCATTTAATGCTAGCTGTAAACAACAAGCACATACTGAAAAAAAGAAAAACTCAAAATTTTAAGCACATTTTCCAGGGTTGAGGGCTGCTCCCAAGAATTAGACTGGGAGGGAATGTTGTCATTAAAGAACACAGAATAGAAATGGGAATGCTTCAAATTGAATGTATGCAAGCGCACTGCAAGATACAGTATATTCCCATAGACAACAAGTTTAAAAGGCTAAAAAAAATGTGGCTCACATCCAAAGTTAAAAAAACGATGAACAATAAGAAAAGTGCATTTAAAAACATTATCATCATTTAAAAGTTTCAAAGTACAAAAATTCAAAATGAACGTCAGTTTGCAAAAGAGAGTAGGATAACTCCCTAAAAAAATTCTTCAAATGTATCAGTAGTTAAAAGGTCAGGTCTGAGCTTGTAGGTCCTTTACAAAATAATCTACATGGAGTGACTGGGTACAAAGAGAATGCAAATTTATTAAATACTTAGACTTCATGATCCTCAATGGCTCAAAATTGATATGGTCCAGAAACATTTAGACAAATAAAGGTGAATAAAGCATCTGGAACTGATGACTTGGAACCATATGTCCTCAAAAAGTTAAGTTCTGTCATTTCAAAGCCATTGTTTCTCCATTTTAGGAACTCTTTAATAACTATTAGATTAGTATAACTTCTATAGTTGGGAAGATACTTGAAAGTTTAAAATGTTACTAAACCTACAACAGTAAAATCAGTCTGTATATGCAGTAAAGCATGCTTGTTATACTCACTGTGGAACCAAAGGGGTTAAGTCTCTGCATTGTGTTAAAAGGATGTTTGATCCTGTCCTCTCTGATCCTCCCCTTCTACCACAGTCCCCGATCCATCTGCTGATAAAACAGAGCCTTTGGGGCAAGCTGCACATGCTCAGTTTTGTTTGTATTGCTAGAGAGTTTTTTTTCTCTTTATAGAGTGCATGTGATCAGCACAGGGCCAATCCAGACAGAGGGTCAGAGGTCCTTCAGCCTCGTAAGATAATCAGGGAAGAATGAAAACTCCTACAAGCTTTAACCAGTGTTCTACTGGACACTGATAGAAGTCACAAGACTGTTGTAACTGCTGCTGAGAAAAAGTATTTAGTGGTTTGTATTTACTAAATTCATTTCATTTAAATGTTCTGTTTACTGTGGGAGACCAGATATAGTGAATGCAGGGTCCTGGGTTTAGCAACACTTTAATAGAAAAAAAAAAACATGGAAACAAAACTGATAAGTGGCATGGAGAATCATGGAGACAATTAAGGGGGAATTGGACCGCCATGGGGCTTTTTTTTTACAGAGAATAGGTGCAGGAAATTCCCCCACATCCCATGACCCTCGATGTGTGTCATAGGGTGGGTATGGCAAAATTGCACCAGTGGGAGGGTCCCAAAGGTGCAATATTAAATAAATCCAAGAGTGCATAACACACAACACAGGGCTCCATTCCACCATGTTCTGGCTGAAAAAATCCCTGTGTAGAGTTATTCACTGTCAGGTCATTACCACGTTCTCGCTGAAAAAGCCCTGTGTAGAGTTATTCACTTTCAGGTCATTACCACGTTCTGGCTGAAAAAGCCCTCTGTAGAGTTATTCACTTTTAGGTCATTACCACGTTCTGGCTGATAAAGCCCTGTGTAGAGTTATTCACTTTGAGGTCATTACAAAGGAGAAGGCTGCACTCTACGTCCAGAAAAAAAAGAGATTTAACCTCCATGTGTGGAGAGGCTTCTTCACAGAAAGACCTGTGAAAATGTGGAATAGACTCCCTCAAGAACTAGTTTTGGTCAGCTCAGTATATTGTTTTAACAAAAGGGCTGGATGCATTCTTAAATTTACAAAATACACAGTAACTGTTACTTCGGGTGTTCTGCCCTAGTTGCTAGAGTCATAATACTAGTGCTAGAGATTGCAGATTGCCTCGAGTTTTCCATACGTACAGATTGTAGGACAGTGTCATCCTATTCTAATATGTTTTCTCATTTTGTTTTTCCTCTGACAGTTGCTCAATAGTTTCCCAAATTTTATCCGTTATCTCCCTGGACCACATCAGAAACTTTTCCAGAACATTAAAAAGATACAAGCCTTCGTTTTGGAGAAAGTGAAAGAACATGAGAAGACTTTGGACAAAGACTGTCCCAGGGATTATATAGATTGTTTCCTTATAAAGATGGAGGAGGTAAATTACAAAGTAAAATTACAAAGTAAGTTACTGAAAGCAAAGGCAATCATATCTGGGCCTTTCAGAAGGTTATCCAAAACCTGATATTGAACTGTAAAGATAGATACGCACTCATTGTTTTTATGAATGTAGATTGATTCTTAAAGTGGAACTTCACCCAAAAGAGGAAGTTTCAATTTTTCTGCCCTCCTCTTCTACTTTTGGCACATACTTTTTTTGGGGGGAGTAGTTACCTTGTTTTGACTCCCTCCTTCCTCCCTGCCTGCAGTGAAGCCACAAGAGGTCACAACCGTCATCCCACACTAAAGATGTTGATGCACTCAAAGACTAGTAAAGAACTGGCCCAGGTGAGGATGACGCTGGATCCCTGGACAGGTAAGTGTCCTTTTATTAACAGGCAGCTACAGTATTTGTAGCTGCTGACTTTTTTTTTCCAGACTGAAGAACCACTTTAATGTGGTGCAAACCCAAAGTAAAAATAAAAAGGATATTGTAGTATATTGCAGTTTAACCCCTTCCTGCCCAGCCCCTTCCTATAAATAGGTCTTTATATCCACAGGGGCAAAATGGACTTCCCAATCATATGACCACTGTAATTAACCAGCTCCCACCACCAGCTCCTGATCATAAAAAGAGCATTAAAGCTGTCTATGACTTGCTGGTCACTGTGCTGGGAGCTTGCCTTTCAGCACAAAACCTTCTACTGACCATTGACAGCAAAGTCCACCCTCTTTGCTGCTGCACATATGCGTTACATGGGTGGCAACGGGGTAAATTTTATGGCCAAATTTTTTTTAATTATTATTTTTCACCTCATGATCCAACCTGTAACACATTTCCTATTTTAGTGTGTCTCCACTGGATGGAGGAGCAACAGAGCCACCCTTGGACAGAAACATTGTCAAAACGGTGGAAAGGGTAGTGTTGGATGCACTAGCAGATTTAGATGGACTGGAGCATGAGTGTCCTCTGATGTGGCCCTTGACCTAAAACTGAATGCAGGAGTTTTGGTGACTTTCAGAAAGTGCACCACGCACAAAAGATATCATAAAGGTCTACTGCAAAGTGCAGCTAACCCACAAGAAAGCCACAGGTGCACTGCGCTGAACCCACAATGTGGGTAAACCACAGCACATCAGTGTATAAGCAGCTCAGAACAGTAAGGGCTTGTTTATATTTACAGTTTGGGGGGCAGGTGGTTTTTACCACCCCTCCCAAACCACTGGTGTAGCATCAGGGGTCTCTCTTGAGGGAGCCGGTGCGGCCTCCCTGTCACATTCTGTTTTACACTTGGACAGGAGGAGCAGCAGGAGCGGTATATACAGGAACCAATCGTCTCCATTTTCCTCCTACAACTGTTGAAATCTGGCTTCTCCTTCTCTCGCCGACACTAAGCGGCTACAGGAGGAAAATGTTATTTATATAATTTTTTTTAAAAAAAGTAAAATTCTGAAGCATTTCATTTCATTGTGGCCCTCGACCAGTTACCAAATTGGTTAAGTGGCCCTCGCTCTTCAAAATGTTGAGTACTCTCCGACTAGATGGAAAAAAAACAGACTTACTGGCTAAATCACTAGGTGAAAATAAAGAAAAAAAGAACTAACCCCCACAAAAAACCTTTGCACCACCACATTTAAAGACTGGTAAGCTTCAATATATTATATTTTGTGTTTAATACCGCTTTATGTGGACCTTTTTAGTAACTTACTACGATACACCATTGCAATAAATTTTAACATCTTACGATTTCTAAAACTAAAAATCAAAGTCTGGAATGCTCACGATTGTATGTACAGTACCTCTATATAAAAAAGTAAATCAAGTCCTTTACTATATCTTTTATTATTTTGTTTTTGTTCACAGGAGAAGAATAACCCTAATACGAATTCTACTTTAGGAACCTATTTGTTTCTGTGATGAATCTTTTCTTTGCTGGGACAGAAACTACAAGCAACACTTTAAAAAACGCAGTTTAACAATTCTGAGCAAGTACCAGGATGTATTAGGTGAATATAGAACATGACAATGATTTTAATATATGAGGAACTTTTCTCAGATGGTAAAGAGGAACTATTTTTAGCAAGAACTTTTTAAAAGACTGTTTCTTCCAGAATTAATTTCTAGTAGAAAATAAGGGATACATAAAAATATCATCAATACGTCTTGTTAGAAAGACCTCTATAATAATGAATATAAGTAAACGGGTAAATAAAATTATATTTATATATATATATATATATATATATATATATATATATACACATACAGGATTTATATAGAGCCAACAGTTTGCGCAGCGCTTTACAATATGAAGGCAGACCATACAATTACAATACATTTCAGTACAGAAGAAACAGGAGGTCCCTGCACGTGGACTTTACAACTATATGTGTATGCATATGTGTGTATATATGTATATATACACATTATATTTATATACACATTATATTGCCAAAAGTATTGGTACACCTGCCTTTACATGCTCATGAATTTTAATGGAATCCTAGTCTTTGTCTGTAGGGTTCAATATTGAGTTGGCCCACCTTTTGCAGCTATAACAGCTTCAGCTCCTCTGGGAAGGTTGTCTAAAAGGTTTAGGAGTGTGTCTATGGGAATGTTTGACCATTCTTCCAGAAGCGCATTTGTGAGGTCAGGCACTAATCTTAGAGCGCAGACTGCGAGCCAGGCCTACTTGTCCAATTCATCACAAAGGTGTTCTTTCGGCTTGATGTCAGGACTCTATGAGGGCCAGTCAAGTTCCTATACCCCACACTTGCCAATCCCTGTCTTTATGGATCTTGCTTTGTGCACTGGTGTGCTGTCATGTTGCAACAGGAAGGGGCCATCCCCAAACTGTTCCCACAAGGTTGGGAGCATGAAATTGTCCAAAATGTCTTGGTATGCTGACACCTTAAGAGTTCCCTTCACTGGAAATAAGGGGCCAAGCCCAACCCTGAAAAACAACACCACACCATAATCCCCCCTCCACCAAACTTTACACTTGGCACAATGCAGTCAAGCAAGTATTGTTCTCCTTGCAACCGCCAAATCCAGACATGTCCATCGGATTACCTACAGAGAAGTGTGATTTGTCACTCCAGAGAACACGTCTCCACTGCTCTAGAGTCCATGGTGGCGTGCTTTACACTACTGAATCTGATGCTTTGCATTGCACTTGGTGATGTAAGGCTTGGATGCAGCTGCTCAGTCATGGAAACCCATTTCATGAAGCTCTCTACGCACTGTTGTTGTGCTAATCTGAAGGCCACACCACGTTTAGAGGTCTTTAGCTATTAACTCTGCAGACAGTTGGTGGCTGCTGCACACTGTGTGCTTCAGCATGCACTGACCCCGCTGTGTTATTGTACGTGGCCTATCACTTCATGGCTGAGTTGCTGCTGTTCACAGTTGCTTCCACTTTGTTATAATACCACTAACAGTTGGCCATGGAATATTTAGTAGCAATGACATTTCACGAATGGACTTATTGCACAGGTGGCAACCTATCACAGTACCATGGTTGGATTCATTGAGCTTCTGAGAGCGACCCATTTTTTTTCAAACATTTTTGTAGAAGCAGTGTGCTTAGAAAACCTGAATCCAGTGATTTGGAGGGGTGTCCCAATACTTTTGGCAATATAGTATGTGTGTATATATCTATATATATATATATATATATATATATATATAATATAGAGAGAGAGAGAGAGAGAGAGAGAGAGAGAGAGATATACACACAGTGGGTAAAGTACGTATTGATTCATCATTTTTCTTTGTAAATATATTTCTAAAAGTTCTATTGCACTATTGACATGACATTTTCACCACATGTCGGTAACAACCCATGCAATCCATACATACAAGGAAACTCAAACAAATAAGTTCAGAAATTAAGTTATGTGTAATAAAATGGAATGACACAAGGAAAAAGTATTGACCACATGAAAAAAGGGAAGTACAAAAAGGCATGGAAAGCCAAAACACCAGCTGAAATCTATTAGTAATTAGAAGGCAATCCTGCCCCTTGTCAGTGGAAATTAATATCAGCTGGTTCAGTCTCAACTGATGGCCTATATAAAGGTGTCTCATTGCCAAGGTGTCACAATAGAAACATCTCATGTTGGGTTAAAGCAAAGCCCTCTCAGAATTGATGGTATTGGTTACAGAAGGATTTCTAAAATTCTGAATGTTCCAGTGAGCACTGTTGGGGTCATAATCTGGAAGTATACAGAAAGAACATCATTTCACCATAAACTGGCCACAACCAGGTGCCCCTCAAAAGATTTCTTACAGAAGAGTGAAAAGAATTATCAGAAGAGTTGTCCAAGAGCCAAAGACCACTTGTGGAGAACTTCATAAAGACCTGGAATTAGCAGATACAATTGGTTCAAAGAAAACAATAAGTAATGCACTCAACTGCCATGGCGTGTATGCACGCTCACCATGCAAGACTCCATGAACAAAAAGCATTTAATGTTTGCTGAACAACATTTAGACAAGCCTGTAAAAACTGAGAATTTAGTCTGGTCAGATGAGACCAAAATTGAACTCTCTGGATGCCACAATACACACCAAGTTTGGAGGTCAAATTGCACTGCACATCACTGTCACGTCTATGATAGTGAGCTCTATAAAACCACAGCTTGGGGTTCCCCAGGGCGTGGAGTCTAAGCCCCAGCCTGCTTGTTCACCAGGCCTAGGCCCCTGATGGTGGGGATAGACTTGGAGCAGGCTGGAACCAGGTCACGGCCCCCAGGTACACCCAGCTGAGGTAGAAGAGACCGCTAGCAGGAGCAGGGTGCAATGGGAGTAGAGACAGGAGATCCAGTAGGCAAGCCGAGGTCAGGACAGGAGGAACACTAGCGATATCAGGAACAAGCCTGGGTCAGTGCACGGATAGACAATACAGGAGGAATGTCAGGGACAAAGGCGGGGTCGGTACACAGATATACTAAACGGATTCAAGAGAACACTGGGGAGCTCCAACAACAAACGTTGCTCAGGCATTGTGGCCCAGTCTGAGCACATCTTAAATAGACAGGCAGACAAGGAGGTGGGACAGGAAGTGATGGAAGCGAAGGACATAAAACCCAGGGAATAGCAGATGACGCCCATAGGTGAGAAACAACACACATGTGAAGGAATCAAGAGCAGCATGGAGGTAAGAGTAAACACACAAAAGGTTGCAAGCTAACTTGTGACACATCACCCCATAAACACCATATCAACAGTGAAGTTTGGAGGTGGGTACATCATGATGTGGGGCTGTTTTTCAGCATATGGTACTGGCAAACTTCATGTCATTGAAGAAAGGATGAACGGAAAGACATTCTTGATAAAAAATCTGCTGCCATCTACCAGGATGATGAAGATGACACAAGGGTGGACATTTCAGTAAGACAATGATCCCAAACACAAAGCCAAGGAAACTCTCAATTAGTTTCAAAGAAAGAAAATAAAGCCACTAGAATGGCCCAGCCAATCACCTGACGTGAATCCAATAGAAAATATATGGAAAGAACTAAAGGTCAGAGTTCATAGAAGAGGCCCACAGAACCTTCAAGATTTGAGGACTGTTTTTGTGGAGGAATGGGCCAAAATCACACCTGAGCAATGCATGCTTCTCCATAGAGGAGGTGTCTTGAAGATGTCATTACCAAAAAAGGATTTTTTACGAAGTAATAAATAAATTTCTGTTAGCATGTTCAATACTTTTTCCCTGTGTCATTCCATTTTATTACACATAACTTAATTTCTGAACTTATTTGTTTTTGGGTTTCTTTGTATGTATGGATTGCATAGGTTGCTACCGACATGTGGTGAAAATTTGATGTCAATAGCATCTTTAGAAAATATATAAAAAAAATGGTGACATGTTCAATACTTATTTTACCCACTGTATATATATATATATATATATATATATATATATATATAGGTTTTTTTTTTTGGAGGGGGGGGGATCAGAGGCCCTGTAAAATAAAATCTGGTAATTGAAAATTGTTTTGTCTCATGATATTTGTTCAACGGTTTTTACAACCTATAGTTTTAGGAAAAAATACACTAACACCCCTTTTATGCATACACACTTACTATAACCCTCATTTGTTTTTGGAAAATATAGAAGATGAGATTGTGTCATGTAAATGGATACCAAATATGTCAGGCCTCAAAATTGCATACATCAACAAAATGGAGAAAAACTGCAGTGCCCAATGTCATAAGTTGACAACACTTTAACACTAGTTTAACCCTTACACTGCCAGGCTCTGCACTCTACTTTTGACCTTAGGTGACCAAATAATTTTTCGAATTGTTTTACTTTTTTTTAGACTCTTTCACTTACAGCATTCAGAGTTTGGAAAAAAAAAAACAAATCATACATTTTCTGAAAGCACAGGACTGGTAGAATACAAAGATGATGCTACTGATTTTGTAGGATAGTTGCGTAAACTCACACAAACACAGCACAATACCATTTACAACATTTCTATGAAATTTAAGAAATAAAACTATGCTGAGTTTGTATATAAAAAATATTTGTACAGTGTAAACCATGCGATTTTTGGTGGTAGATGTTGGTGCAGTGTTGATTAGGGGGGTGGTTGCAGGTACATTGGAGATTGGTGGTGAGGAGCTATCAGCTTTAACTTCAGATGATGTTATTCCAGCCAGCAGCAGAGGTTGGGAGGGTGTTTGGTGGGGTGTGAGCTGCCAGGCTGGAAATTACAGTATCTATGTACACTGCAACAGAGGTTGAGGGCAGGAAAGTAGTGTGAGCTGGCCTGGCAAGAAATTAGAAGGTCATGTACCACTGCAACCCAGACTCACCTGAGAGGTTACTTTGCATGTGCTTCCCACTGGGTATGACTGTTATGGATAGCACTGGTCTACATTTAAATGTGGATACTACAGTATAAACATAGTAGCATCAATTTTATTGAAGTACAAAAAATGTGTTGCCCTGCCCCTTTAAATAAAATAATTCAAATAAATGCATCCCCTAATCACTTCCACAACCTGCATACATGCTCAGGAAAAGTAGGAGACAAAATGCTGCACGTAGTATAAATCCAGGATGCCTCCACTATGTGGAACATTTGGTCTCCTGTTTTTTCTGAGCATGTACAGAGGTTGTGGAAGTGGATCGAGGATATTTATGGGCACCAATGCCTTTTGCCAACCACTGATTCCACAGAGGGAAGTTGGAAACTTCTCTTTTTGCTGACCATCATCATTGCGTGCAGTATATAACTTCTCTGTAATATGAGAGTCACGTACAGTGGATATAAAAAGTCTACACACACCCTGTTAAAATGTTAGTTTCTGTGATGTAAAAAAATGAGACAAAGATAAATAATTTCAGAACTTTTTCCACCTTTAATGCAACTTATAAACTGTACAGCTCAGTTGAATAACAAACTGAAATCTTTTAGGTGGAGGGAAGTAAAAATAAAAAAGTTGTGCTACTCAGCCCTCCTTGCTAACTGTTGGAGTCTAGCTTCTCCTAGCTGACTAGAAGGGTGCTACACAAGTTAACATGAATTGCAGACATTTCATGAAGAATGGGCTGCCAATGCATGGGAATAGAAAAAAAACGATCTCCACCTTTTCTAAATGCAACTCACCACAATGTATGGTTTGTACCATGTGCTGTGCTACAGTGTAAATCAGTTAGCACCTATAGTACGTTTGCATTGGGATGGCATTATAAATGTTGTAAAACTCACATCCCCCACAATGCATAGATCTGAAGAAGACCCAGAGGCTAGCTTTACTTTCAAATTGTGTATCAAAAATAGAAACAATTAAATAATACAGTAGACGCTCAACATCATCTAACAAATGATGTTCCTAGACAAAAGAAATATATAGTGAACATAATATAAGTGACAGTCCCATGAAGATGTAGTCCTGTAGACCAAAAACTATGCTCTTTCACCACATGCAGACAATAAGTGAATTTCTCACTCACCAGCAAAAAATTGACCCTGGTTAAGGTGGTCAAATAACACTTTGTTATCATAAATGTTGATGGCCTGCAATAGACTCTCTTGGGTCAGACCTCCCAGTCTCCTAATAGGAGATATGGATCCAAGGAATCAGAGATAATTGCCCCCAGTTTGATGATCACAAAACCCTGGGTATACCAATAATAGATGGATTCATGATCCCAGGCTCTCATCAAAATAAGGTGATGCTCCAAGTAGCTCAAATAAACCACATAAATTATATATGCTCTAAGTGTAGGATTTATTGAAAAATGGCATAATAAATAAATGTATGTCAATACACTCACATTGGGGCAGCACAGTGGCTAAGTGGTTAGCACTTCCACCTGGCAGTACTAGGGTCGTTGGTTCGAATCCCAGCCACGGCACCACCTGCCTGGAGTTTGCATGTTCTCCTGGTGCCTGCGTGGTTTTCCTCCGGGTACTCTGGTTTCCTCCCACACTCCAAAGATATGCTGGTAGGTTAATTGGATCCTGTATAAATTGGCCCTAATAAGTGTATGCATGAATGTAAGTTAGGGACCTTAGATTGTATACCCTTTGAGGGTTAGGGACTGATGTGAATGTACAATATATATATATGTGTGTAAAGCACTGCATAAATTGATGGTGCTATATAAGTACCTGAAATAAATAATAAATAAATAATGTAGTGGTGCCCAAAGAATCGGCACCAGCCTATGCAGCCTGTAATGTATAAATTCCAATATTATTAGAGCATATCTAATTTATGTGGTTTATTTGAGCTGCTTGGAGCATCACCTTTATTTTGAGGAGAGCCTGGGGTCATGAATCCGTCTATTATTGGTAAATCCCCATGTAATTGCATTGGGTAGGTAATCTTTATAGAGACATTAAGGGCCTTTTGTTAACATGATGTCTCCCCTGTCCTCTACCCAAGCAGATGGGGTACAAACAGTGCTTGCTGAACCTATTTATTCTGGATTTAATAGCTCCGAAGCCAGAAGTGGCCATAGCATATGAATGCACAGGCTGCAATAAGAGCTTCACAATGTTCCAGCCTTTCACCGCGGCACTCAATATTTTGTCTCCATTGGAGAAAACTAAAAAAACACAATACCAGCACACCATATTAAAACTGAAAATGTAATCATCATCCATAAACAGCAGCCTTTGGAGGCCAGTGGAAGCCTCTTCCACAGGCAGTAGTCACTACACAGTGGCCTACAGATACATGATCAGTTTTATTTCCTTAATATGTGTTTTTAGTAGAATCAGTAATTATTTCCATATAACTATGAATGTGTGTTCTCAGCAAAGGCCCAGGAAGAAGTTGACGGTGTGATTGGTCAGAATCGTAGTCCCTCTATGGAAGATCGGAGCAAGATGCCATATATGGACGCTGTCATCCATGAGATACAGAGAGTTTCAGACATTGTGCCCTTGGGACTTCCCCATGCAACAACTCAAACCACCGTCTTTAGAGGCTATACCATCCCAAAGGTGGGCAGAATTATTCCTAGACATTTATAACATTCTCTCATCTTTCTGTGAAATCTGTCTCATAGAAATGTTGAGGAACTTACAACAAAATACAATATAGAAATGGGGGGAGAAAGAAAAGATACTTTAAATTCTGTAGTGTGTATTTCTCAGAACATGACAGAGTACTCTACATCAAACCAATCTTAGTAATTCCTGCCTTAGAGGAGCTTGGAGTGGTCACATAAGTATTAACACACAGAATGGCCAATGGAGCTAAAGTGGGTCCAAACACAAATTAAGCCACTTCTGGATGATATAACAACAGTAGGTATTTTCCCAGGCCAAGTTTTTAAATTTCACAGTCTTTGTAGAGCAACTCTACCTGTTCCTAATTCCTACTACCATTACATCAATAATGTAATCAGAAGCAGGAATGGGCAACATATTCCTGTGTAGTCAGGTCTGCTAGTGGTTACAACATTTCTTTCCCTGTTTGGAAGCTTTACTCCTTTCTTATGTCATGGGGATGGGGTATACACATTGATGGTGTCAGGTTAAATAATTATCTGCAATGTTGAGCTGTGGTGGCCATTTTTGGGGAAGACCATAAAAAATGCTCGGCTATGGAATGTCTTCCTATTGGATGAACCGATGTGTGTACCGGATGAACTCTGGATGGCAGAGAAAGACTCACGGGGAGGAGAAAAAGGAGAACACATATGAAAAAGAGACTGGTGACTGCAGGAGATGTGCGACTGACTGCTGGAGATGATGAGAGCTTTAACAAAGTGTAAAAAACAATATCCACTTACACCAGAGTGCTATCTGGTTCTAGGTATTAGGACCGGTAGGCTGTGAAATCAAAAGCCGGTACTGGAACTCTCAGATACTGTAAGAGGAGGACTGAGGACAGACTTTGAGAGAGTGCAAGTGGATATGGCTACGCGTTTCTAGGCAGACCACCCCTTTCTCAAGCTCCTTTCTCATGAAATGTCTAGCCATGCACGACTATACTTTCTCCATGTATGTCCCAGGGTGATTCTCCTGCATTCTCTGACCATGCCAGTAACAATTTCACAACCTATTGGTCCTAATACCTGAAGCCAGACAGGAGCTGTGCCCTTCTGCTGCTTTCCTCTCCTCTGTCTCTCTGCTTACAGAGGCATCATCAGGAGCCATTGACTCCTGCTGCTGTCAATCAAATCCTGTGAGCAGAGAGTTAGGGGTGAAAATGAGCAGCACTGTGTGTGTCTGTAGACGAACACAGCTTGGTTTAGAAGCTAGCCTGCAAGGCTATGGGGCACACACAAAAGAGGAAGAGCCAAAAGCAGGGGCGGGGGGACCCCAGAAGAGGAGATTCAGAGTAGGTCTGTGCAATATCGTTGCACAGAGGAGGTAAGTATAACACATTTGTTATTTAAAAAAAACACAAAGGCCTTTACCACCCCTTAAAGTCTTTTCTATGCCTTCTCTTTACCTATGGATATTACATAGATCTGATACACCAATCGTATGCAAACAGATACTGTATGAACCTAATGTAGACTCCCTATCTAGGTTTCACTAGTTACGCTAAAAAATATATTAACACATTTAAAGATAACTCTGGTTATCACTTTTTAGACAGTTGCAGCAACAGTTTTTTTTTCTTTTTTGGGAAAGAGATTTTACATAAGTTAAAAAAGGCTGACCATTGTAAGCACCCCTGTCACTGTTAAATGTTTTGTCTCAACACATTAACTGTCACTTTTGCTGGACATCTTAGTCTGTTAAGGTAGTTGTAAAATAACACATTTACTGGCCAGATCACTAGGTGAAAAATAAAGGAAACAAAAAAGCTAAAAAAAAAGAAAACTAATGTAGCCACCGCATGTAGGAATCGGTAACCTGCAATATTATATTTTTTACTTTTGAGTTTAGATTGATTTAAATTTGTTGACAGGTATGAAGTGCTGGAACTCAGAGATACTTGCACAGACCTTCAGCAGTTTTTGGTATTCTCTGCTTTGCAAAATAATGGGTGTTCTGACAGGCAAAGCTCCAACACTTCAGGTTTTATTGGAGATTGTCACCAAGCTCATTAACACACTTTGTATATCCGTATCACTATGAGCTTCCTTACTGTCCAATAGCAATGGGTGGAAAGGAGTGGGCCAGCTCCAGGACTATCATAAAAGAAGGGACAGGATGTGATCACTTTACAGACTAAAAATGGGCATGCCCTAATCCATGTTACAATGTCTTCTCTGGTTTATTCTGCCCATCAGATATACTGTATGTTAAGGCTTCAAAGATCTTAAAGTGAACCTCTCAATGGCTTTAGTAGTCTGTATGCTTGGGCAGATCTAGGGGGGTACTGGGGGTGCGCTGCGCCTCTCCAGATTTCAGTTGTTCCCCCCCTAGGCAGGACCCTCCATGGACATTGTGCCTGACCCGCTGAGCTCCTTCCCCATCCCCACACTCAGGGCAAGAACAAGGGGGAGCAGCCTGGTGCGGTGAAGTCCTAAAGTGAGCAGTAAAGTCCAGACAGAAGTGACAGTGACATAGAGGAGAGCGTGGAGGAGGTGCAGGCTGAACAGTGCTCCTCCATACACCAAATGACACAGAATCAATTTACATCAGACTGTTCAGGTTTGATTACCTGCCCCCTATCCAAATTTCCTGCTGCTGGGAGATGAGTAGTCTGATCAGTCCCATGATTCTCTCCCCATGCATAGATCATCTTACAAGCAGTATAATCAATAAAGACACTTTTCTCACTTTTCTCGGAGGAGGAAAGAGAGGGCATGTTCTCAAAAGACTATCTGTACTGCTGTTCTGCCTGGAGCTGTTAATTACTGCAATTCTAGAAGTTCAGAGTCAGGAAGAGGACAGGGCATCCCTGATCAGATGATTTCTCCATTATCAAACTGCCTACACAAAGTGGGACTTACTTCATCATAGGTAAGTGCAGTAACTGAAGCTGTAGGGATCTTTTTTAGCCTTTAGACTTCAGCTTTCAGCCTTTGTCAGAGTTGTAGTGAAAGTTGAATTTGTGATGGTTGATGAGGTTTATTTAAAATGTCCTTTTTTGCTTTTTAGAAGAAGAATACATTTACTAACTAGCGTTTAATTTCCTGTTTTTGCTGATTAGGGAACCACCATATTTCCCCTTCTGACATCTGTCCTGAAAGATCCAAAGTACTTTCAGAATCCTCATACATTTGACCCGGGTCACTTCTTGGACGAGAAGGGTTGTTTCAGAAAAAAAGATGCTGCCATACCATTTTTCTATGGGTAACGTAATTTCTCTTGGTGATATAAGATTAAAACGTGTGTTACACAGAGCAAGTTACTGATCATCTAGAAACAAATACAGAGGCAAATGTTATTTATGTACTGTACAGCAGGTCTATAACTGCTAGAGAGAAATGTATAGGAATACTTAAAGCAAAACTCCAATAATTCTATTGTTTCGTAGTCTCACATCTGTCCAGCTTGGCTCGATGTAAGTACCATATCAAATATTCAGAGGACACCTAAGGATGAAGTCACACTACAATGTACAACTACAGCACAATGATTGCCATGATCTGAGTTTTGCTCTATCAGCTTTCCCTCTACATACTGACCACAGTGGGCATTCACCCAGCACTGCTGCGATTCAGAGTCTGCTTTGTATTCACTTTCAGTGAATGCAAGGCATTATCTGATTGGATGAGGTGAGGATTTTGACTTCACCCACCCCTCCTCTTCCTCTCATCCAATCAGAGAATCATTAGAAGTTGTTTCCTTATATTCCTGTCTAGGATTTTCTTTCATTTTCACACTTGGTGATAATAGTCACCTTAACGGGGACAAAGACAGCAATACAGACTCTCTACTCTCTAAACATTTTGCCTTCAGTTTATACTTTAAGGATGTAGTAATGAAAGAACAGAGCTGGTTGAATTTGTGTCTTTTATATATATTTGGAAGTCAGACTTAAACAAACTTTATAGGGATGTCCTCCTGCGCTCCACAGAGTAACTAAACAAGACCAGCAGCTATCATCTATACCCTATACCTCGGGATGAAATAAATATCTAATAGTGGATGAATAGTGGTCGTTTGTTTTACACATTGATTGATTTGAAGCACCAGTCACCTTCACTTTATAAATATTTATGTATTGAAATTTTTTATATATTTTTATTAATTCTTGTTTGCACACCTATTTGGAGCACTGGTCACTTTATTATTATATATATATATATATATATATATATATATATATATATATATATATATATATTATTTATTTGTATGTATTTATTTTTATTTATCTATTTAGTTTAATTAGTTTGTTACCCTCATGGCTGAGCGCTTCATCCACTATTAGACTTAAACAAAGCCCATGTGTTTAGTCCAATAGACCTCTGCACTTTTTAGGCATCTTGAGCTGAGGTTTCCAACGCCATGCTGGCCAGTAACTGTATCCCTGTATTCAAATGAAAGTTTTTATTTAACCTACATGCCTATTTTGTAAAAGTTTTACTTAATTCTTGAAGAACTTGGAGTTGGTGGAGCCAAATTTGTTCAAGAATTTCCTATTATGTTTTAAAACAGAAAATATCATCCATGTGTGGGATGTTCACCTTCCTGCGAAACCCAAAGTACAAATTTTTGGAATAATTTGTATTGTGCAGCAATTTACCAAATACATAGACCATTCTGTTGTGCCGATCATACTCGCCTTTCCTTCTTCCCTTCCCCCCATCACTCTGTATAGCCTCAAGGAGCAAGAAAAATAAGCACTGTGGAAGCTCTAAGTTGTGGATTGGAACATACACAGACTTGAGAATCCATTTTGGGCCAAGAAGAAGGGGAATGAGCCATATGGTGCTCTATACCCAGAAGTACCGAACAGAGTGGTGGGGAAGTGAGAAGAAAGCGAGTGTGAACGTGCAAACGTTAGTTCTAAAATCTACTAGTGGCCAGCTTTACTGTAATCATTGTTTGTTGTCTATGAGAAAGTGTAAAATTACAAATATGAGCACACTTATTGATATCCTGTAATACCACCATTTTTTCACTGCTAAAATTAATGTGGCAGGGTCTCTATATGCCCTTCTGCTCCTCCCCCACCTACTGAACGTGGATGTAGTTGGACTGTATGCTTGGCTGGCCATGTTTATATAAGATTATCTACTATCTACTTGTTAAACTTTTTACATACAATGTAATTTGGCTAGTTGCCATCTGCAAGGCATAGAAACTTGGAATGTGAGCAATTCATTTTACAATTTTATTACAGTTTAGCTACCTCTCATAAATGTATTACTTACAGTTGTGTTCAAAATAATAGCAGTGTGTTGAAAAAAGTGAATAAAGCTCAAAATCCTTATAATAGCTTTTATTTCCATACATACAAATCCATTGGGAACATGACACATTCTATTCCAAATCAAAACATGAAGAAAAATATATCAAATTTGTGTTGTTCCTCTAAAAAAAAATGAAGAAAAGTGAATATTAGACTGTTCAAAAAAATAGCAGTGTTTGCATTCTTCTTTACAAACTCAAACATTCACTATATAAACTGAAAAATTTTGGAAGATTTTTCTTTCCTTTGAATCACTTAATGAATATTTGGTTGTATAAGCACTGTTTCTGAGAACTGCTGTACATCTGTGTTGCATGGAGTCAACCAACTTCTGGCACCTGTGATCAGGTATTCCAGCCCAGGATGATTGGACTACATTCCACAGTTCTGCTCTATTTCTTGGTTTTGCCTCAGAAACTGCAGTTTTGATGTCACCCCACAAGTTTTCTATTGGATTAAGATCCGGGGATTGGGCTGGCCACTCCATAACGTCAATCTTGTTGGTCTGGAACCAAGATGTTGCACGTTTACTGGTGTGTTTGGGGTCATTGTCTTGTTGGAACACCCATTTCAAGGGCATTTCCTCTTCAACATAAGGCAGCATGACCTCTTCAAGTATTCTGATGTATTCAAACTGATCCATGATCCCTGGTATGCGATAAATAGACCCAACACCGTAGTATGAGAAACATCCCCATATCATGATGCTTGCACCACCATGTTTCACTGTCTTCACAGTGTACTGTGGCTTGAATTCAGTGTTTGGGGGTCGTCTGACAAACTGTCTCCGGCCACTAGACCCAAAAAGAACAATCTTACTTTCATCAGTCCACAAAATGTTGCGTCATTTCTCTTTAGGCCAGTCAATGTGCTCTTTGGCACATTGTAACCTCTTCAGCACATGTCTTTTTTTCAACAGTGGGACTTTGCGGGGGCGTCTTGCAGATAGCTTGGCTTCACATAGGCGTCTTCTAATTGTAACAGTACTCACAGGGAACTTTACATCTTCTTTCATCTTCCTGGAGCTGATTGTTGGCTGAGTCCTTGCCATTTTGGCTATTCTTCTATCCATTCGAATGGTAGTTTTTCGCTTTCTTCCACGTCTTTCAGGTTTTGGTTGTCAGTTTAAAGCATTTGCGTTCATTTTAGCTGAGCAGCCTATCATTTTCTGCACTTCTTTATATGTTTTCCCCTCTCCAATCAACTTTTTAATCAAGGTACGCTGTTCTTCTGAACAATATCTGGAACGACCCATTTTCCCCAGAATTTCAGAGAGAAATGCACTGTAAACAGCATGTACATTATTTACTGCCTTCCTTCCTAAATAAGGGCAATAATTGCCACCTGTTTTTCAAAGAATGAATGAGCTCACTAATAGAACTCCACACTGCTATTATTTTGAACATGCCCCTTTCAATTAGTGATTCAATTACACAGAATCATGTCATGACTGTTGGGTCTGTTGGATTTCTATTACTACACCTGCTAGTAAATTATTTGCCATGTAGAAATACCATTTCTACCAAAAACAGTGATTGATCAGGTTAGTGATGTCTGACTGCTATTATTTTGAACACAACTGTATATGAACTTTAAACTAATTTGACAACTCCTTATCCATTAAGATGGCACAAGTCTATTTCTTATACTTCCTCTACTTTTAGGGAAGAGGATCTGTCTTGGAGAAGGGATGGCCAGAATGGAGATCTTCTTGTTTCTTTCCTTCATCTTGCAACGTTTTAACCTGAAATGTGATGAGGATCCTTCAAATATCGATATCACCCCGATGCCCAACACCAATGGAGCTGTCCCTCATACTTATAAGATACGCTTTATTCCCCGCTAAGGAAGACATTTGAAAGATGAATAATTAAGTTAGAAGAAGTTAATTTGTCTAGTATGAATAAAAAGAACTATGGGTGAATTCACCCAGGTTTAATTTGTTGTGGGAGTGAACACTTCAAAACAAATTGCAAATTGTGAATATTAATGCAAACTCATTCAGGGTTAACGGGAGGCAAATCTTAAAAATCAACATTGAGACATTTTGAAGGCTAATAGGAAAGAAATTGACAAACAAAGGGTATGGGGAGCTGGACACTGCCATGGACGACATGTACCAAAGAAAAAAAAATACCATTCAGTGCCTAAAGCCTAAGGGGCATTTACATAGAAAAATGTACTATTTAAATTACCCTAAAATACATTTTCCAGCTACTTAGTTCTGTTTACATCCATAACAGACCCCCCTGCCGATACCTCTTCATGAGTGGCATCTGCCAGAAGCCCTGACTGGTTTGTTTACATTCAGTGGTCAGCCGGGGTGCTGGCTGATGTTACTGGCCAAATATTATCATGATCATATTTGGTCAATAACATCACATGGGATGACTGCCTTCTTTTTTACAATGTAAAACAAGCTGGCGGGCAGCAGGATTGTTGGTTACTAGGACACTGGTGGCTGCCTGCATCCTGGCAACCAATAATGCTGTGTGGCCTGCATAACAGGAAGTTTTTAGTATTGTGAAAGAGTGCCTGACTATGCCTGCCCTTTCCTCCAATCTGCTTTATTCATTGAAATGGTACTACAGCTGCTATGAATGATGCTGAATCTATGAATAGAGGGGCGGACCTTTCAATTATTTGCTCATCCTCCTTCATTGATTGATCCTGTTTCATTCATAGACTTGGCAAAAAAGGCAGGTATAGTGAAGCATTCTTGATTAAAGCCTGTGACAGCTCTAACAGTTTCTATTAACCCCCCCCCCCCCCCCCCCCCCACACACACACACACACACCAGAAGATTATGGTGGAGGCGTAGATGAAAAAAGAAGTCACATAACAGAACAGGCATCAGCACAAGGGACACATCCTACTAACTATACATTATGTGCCTTGTATTAATTTTTGTGTTTTTTACTTTGGCTGCACTTATACTTTAAAAATACACTGTCATTAATAACCTACTCCTTTTATGAATTTCTACCCTACAATCTGTACTCCCACACTGTGGTGTCCCCGCTCCGGTGGATCCCTCACACTATTGCTTTAACCAAGCAGGGATTCTGGTTTTGAAGGGTATTTGACCTCCCCAATTGGACAGTGCTCAGGCCTGAGTGGCCAATCACCAGGTTCAAACACAGCCACTTGGGGAAGGTCAATGACATCCACTCTGGTAAGCTTTAACACCAGGTGACCATCTTCCACAGGGTGTACTCCTGCAGTGAGAACTTGGTGATGAGCATGGATTCTGGAGCAGGCCTTCTTAGACAGGACTGTCAAAGACACTGAACGGGCAAAGTGACAGTTTTTTGTTCTTTAAAAAGAATCAATAAGGCCCACTAATGATATCTTTGTTGTGGGCCCATAAACATTTTGAAAGTGCACTTGTCATGTGAAAGATATGACAGTTACTGGCCTCCTTCTGCAAGTACCATTGTCTGGCAGTGTTTGGCTTTAGACTGAGGTATTTGAGGAGCTATTTGATAAGCGGCACCTATGACACACACATACTGTATATAGTAGGGAATAATCTTTTGTCGGCTTCAGCTCTGAGGAAGGGGACACGTTCCTGAAACATGTCAGCAGGCCAACCTCACTACCAGTCGGGTACTGTGCCATCACGTTGTGCCATCTCAGTGGTTTTTACAGGCCTTTATATTAATCTCTTTTTGTATGTTTTTTGCTTTTCATTTTTCAATAAACTTTGGATAATGCGCTAGGTGTTTCCACCCCCTGTGTGTTTCTTTTTCCAGTTGTTGATTGATCCCCCAGTCAGAGGAGGGCTGCACCACCAAGACCTGGTTCCGAGACCAACACGTTTGAATCCCTGGCCTGTCTCCTGGCATTAACATCTTTGAAGCACTGGAGAGGTTGTTCTTTCAGTCCAGTATACTTTTGAGGAATTACCCAAAACAAACATGCAGCAACTAAGGTATAGAAAATTTAGAACTGTTTATCTCAACATCTTTACCGGATCTGACTCAGAGTACTGAGGCCAAAGCATCAGCATGGTAGCCAGATAACTAGCTTTCTCAGAAGCAGAGGCCAGCAATGACCATCTACTTATTTCTCGTATGACATCCTTTGAAGTGGCTCTGGATATATCATTGTCTGTTTTTCTGTTCACTTTGACTGGCAATGACTGTGCAGTTTCTTATCAGATTATTCTTGTAAAGTAACTCAGCAGACTTAACAAATGTTATCAGCTTTAAGTATTTTTGTTATTTTTATAGTAGCTGTGAAATTTTATGCTTCAATAAATTCCTTTAATACCCGTTATGTAATAAATTATCTGTCTGTTATCAGTTCTTGTAAGCAAGACATGAATGATTTATTGTAATACAGACATGATTATCAAAGTGAGTATGAAAGTGACTTTATTATCCAAAATATTACAATATAAATAAAAGACGAGTCAAACCATTTGTCCCATATCTTGCAGGTTTATGTATCAACAGAATTTTTGGAAAATGAAGAAATGAAATAAAATTTTTAGATCCCGTGTAGCATTACATCACATGAAAAATAAAGAAAAACAAAAAAAATAAATAAATCTATTAGATGGACATGTGTACAACATATGCATTTATGTCAAATAACACTGTTCAACAAATTTTTATTTTTTGCCAGTTTTGGAAACAAAAGGATCCATTTCTTAATGAATTTCACATTCTGAGTTCAAATATAACAATGAAATTTGTCAATTGGCTCTAGTTTTTCTGTAAACGGAACGTTTTCTACTATAGGCGTAATGACTACATAATGCACAATAATTATATAGATAGATGTCTTTCCACAAATATAAAGCAAGTGATATTGACTACATAACAAAGCCTAAATGGCATAATATACTGCATAGGATTACCAAGAAAAATTATAGCCATAAGCTAAGTTGAATCATTTTAATACTTAGGATTCTCACTAGTTTTGTCTTCAGTTTGTGTCGGTTTTGCTTCTCTTGGCTTTTCTCTTGTATTCGAGGAAAGGGCTATCTCTTACAACTGCACGTGACTACATGCTTCAGGTTCTTCCTCACTTGACTCAACCACGAAGGATTCTGGTGCTTTAGGAATTGGTAGCCCCTCTCCATGAGGAACTGGACGTATTGCCGATGGAATATTTGGATAGTGCACAGATAACTTTTTCTTTTTTTAGCCCTTTTACAATTGGAGGCACCATACAAAAGTAACAATTACTAACATGATCTGTTGGCTCTCTCCAAATCATTGGCACAGCGAAAGGCATAGTTGCCTTTTTTCCATTCAACCATTGCTCCAGTGCCGTCCCACAAGAATTGCAGAATATATGTGGTGCCCAGCTCTTGTCCTGGTCTCCTATCTTGCAGCCAAAATACAAGTTGTAGGCTTTCTTAATCATTCCTGTTATCCTCCTTTTTTGTGAGATAAAAGTTATTTCACCGCAGATATAGCAGAAATTATCTGCTTTATTCACACAAGTTCGAGGCATTACTGAGTAGCCTATATAAGCATAAAACGAAATGTAAAGACGCTGTCGAAATACAATCAGCTACAGATACTGCAGCTTTTATGCAGTGAAGTGATGCAATTAAAGGCTAATATTGCATCATCTCAGTATACATGCAATTTTCTATTGGTCACCAGTATCAATTGCGCAATATGCAGCTGAAGTTGCATCATAATTTTGAATGGCTTACGTCATTAGATGGGTGAATATATCATGGAAACTAGAGCCAATCAACATTTTTTAGGGTCATTTTTGTTTTCAGCACCCCAAAATTATGTAAAATTAGCTAATTTTATGCCCAAAACTTTTTACCCGTTGAACAGTGTAATATATCTGAAGCAATGTACACCATTGTCTGTGATTAAACAAAGACAGATTCCAAGTGTCCAAATATTTTCACAAAAAATCCTTTTGTCCAATAATTTGGCCATGTCATCTATTGTATTTGAGTTACTGCATTTTATTCTTCTTTTATATAATCAACAAGTGTGCAGATGCACATCCAGCGACAAAATTATGCTCTTACCTTTTTTGTAAACCTCACAATAAGGTCTAATGCGCTTTCCCCTTGCAGTGAGGTCACCTATACCACTTGAGTGATGGCTCCCTACAGACTACTGGGGTTTTCAATCCATCTCCATCTTCTGCAATCCTTGGATGAATGTTTTCAATACACTCAGAAAAAAGAAGAAACTATAGTGCTCTCCTCATAAAACCACCATTTATTGATTAAAAATGTAATACACTCATCCTTTATTGTGCACAAATTAGGTGCACACAGTGTACAGGCAAATATAGTTTATATCAAGCAACAAAATGGCTGACTGTACCCTTTGGGTTTGTGGGACGTGATGTCACCGGATCCTCCCTACAGGTTACATCATAAGGTCATATGACTTAATTAGGGGACAATATATTATTTGACAAATGCATATGTTGTACACATGTCCATCTAATACATTTATTATTTTTTTGTGGGTTTTTTTTTTTCATGCGATGTAATGCTGAAAGGGATGTAACAATTTACGGAATTCACTAAAAGTAGTTATACTGCACGGCACTGAGTCACTTATATTATGTATGGTTTTATTGTGGGAACACAAAAAGTGTGAGCAGCAGTATTAACATTAGTTACACATAGTTACAAATACTTTTGTATATACTATATATTTATAAAAAAAAAATTTTCATAGTTTGCACTTTTTATGTTGACTGCACTGAGTTTTTTCTGTTATTGTGTTAAATAAAATGTGGTTGTTTGTTTTTTTTTTTTTACAATATTGTCATCTTAACAAGTTATTTCCCGCACACAGCATAGGCATACTTATAATTACACCCCAAAACACATTCTGCTTTCC